GGCCGCGGCTGCTCCCCAAGCCAGCCACAGGTCAGGCTTGCTCCCTGTGAGGCCTTCCACACCACTGGGTCGGGCCCATGGAGCTTGCCAGAGCTGGATGGGGCAACTCCTGCATGAAGCTGCCTCTGACCCGAGGAGGTCAGGAGAGGCTGAGCCCAGGGGACCTCAGACACTTGCTGAGACAGCGGCTCCCCTGCCCCTGGCTGGCCCCCTCTCACAGTCTTCGGTATGGGGACGGGTGTCTGGGGAAGCCTTTCACCGGCACGTGGCGCAGGGTCTTGTTGGGAGGCTGCTCTCTCCGATACGCAGCCCATACCGCTGGTTAGAGCGTCCCAGGGGTAGACGACCAGGCCCTGGTTGGTAAAGTGGCCAGGGCCTTTGGCTGATGCTGCTGGAACACGGTCCACGATGCCAGACATAGCCTGGGTCATGCTCAGATCCTGCCCTCCAGGTGCAGCCCTCAGGCCACTGGGCCAGGCCAGGCGAAGCCGGCACTGCTTCCCCAAGCCGGGGTCCCTGGGGTCAGGGGACGGCTCCTGAGGGGGCAAGGCATTGGTGTTTCCCAATACTTGGTGGGTTGCAGAGCCTGGGAGGCCACTGCCTGTCCGAGCAGAGAAGATGGACACTTGGCTGCTGCCCGGGGAGCTTCCCACACCGTGCTCTCTGCCACGGTCCCTGCCAGGCGAAGCCGGCACTGCTTCCCCAAGCCGGGGTCCCTGGGGTCAGGGGACGGCTCCTGAGGGGGCAAGGCATTGGTGTTTCCCAATACTTGGTGGGTTGCAGAGCCTGGGAGGCCACTGCCTGTCCGAGCAGAGAAGATGGACACTTGGCTGCTGCCCGGGGAGCTTCCCACACCGTGCTCTCTGCCACGGTCCCTCAGGGCTTGAATGGTGTTTGAATCGGCAGAGCCCTGCTGGACACGGTACTTGGAGCGGAGGTGAGACCACAGCGTCTCCCCTGGAAAGCGGAGAGAAGAACAAGTGATGGGGCAGAAAGCATCCCTGGTTCCCCTGCTGCAGACATGGCCCATTCAGGCACAGGCCAAGGCCTGCACACTGGGGACGTGACCGAGCATCGTTAATCTCCCCAGCAAAGCTCAAGTCCATGCAGAGTACTCCCCAGCCCTAAAAGCACCCCATGCTCAACACCACACCTCCGCTGGGACCTGGCACACCAAAGGCTCATTCCCCCCTCCTTTAGCAGCCCTGCTCCCCCTTCTGCATGGTCTCTTTGATCCCAGCTCTGTCACTTCCATGTCGCAGGCCAGCCACACCTTCACACATGCCCCCGATCCCACCGCCATCCCCACTTCCCCCTGAAAGCCTTTCCTTCCCGCATGATGGCGATGCTAGAGAGCTCCCACAGCATGGCATGGAGCCCGTGGGTCAGCAATGAGCCAGAGCAGTGAGCACACTGCCGGGGCTTCCCAGCCTCACCACATCCAGCTGCTGGCTGCTTTCTGCAAACTCATCCTACAGCAATGCATGAGGAGCTGAGGCTGTGCTCCAACACATGTCAGTCTTCATTTGTCATTGCTGGACTCCAGCTGCTGCTCCCTACACATCCATGCAACCAGCAGAGACAAGCCTCCACCTTGTCACACTTCACCAGGATCTGGGACAAGCCCCAAGCTTGCCTCTTTGTTGTACCCAAACCCCAGTGTGCTCCCTGCCCTTTATGCCCCAATTCTCCATCTCCTCTCTTTGGTCTGATCTCAAAATCCAGTGTGGCCTCTTCTTTTGTAACCAAAAAATGTTTTATAAAGGTCTTATCAAAAGATTGTTTTGTTCGACAACAATAAGGTGAACTACCTCACTTGGTTCTCCTTCTCCATCACCTTCCTGTCATGGACAAACAATGCCAGTAAAATGAAGAGATTTTTCTTTCCAAGACCATATCAACCTCTCTGCCTCAAGGCATTGACCATTCCGTCCCATGGGACTCAGTGGTCCCTAAGGCTAGTTTCCATGTAACACCCCTACACACACAATCTCTTTCTCCTTGTAAGTCTCCACAGGCCCATTTCTAGATTGCTTCCCCAGTCAGCTCTTACCAAACCTCCAGAATCCCCAACAGAGCTGAGCAGCTCCTTCCACAAAGTCTCCAAGCCCTGGTACCCATCACCCTTCTATGAAGACAGCTTGTGCTGTCACTATAAAAAACAGTCCCAAACCAGCAGAAGAAACATATTTGAGAATTTAAAGAAAGGGAGACTGAGGATAAGAGCAGGATGCTCCACAGATGGGATGCAATGCTGTCCCTACTCACCCTGCACGTGCTCCAGGTGGAGGAAGATGGAGTCCTCACTCACATAGTAGCACAGCAGCTTGACCATGAAGGGGACCCCATGAGGGATGATGGTCTGTCGCTCACGGGTCTCAACATGGGATTTGGGGAGGCTCTGAGGAGGTACAGCACAGTAGAGGCTTGGACTCTCTGCATCCTAGCACCTGGCAGGGCAGGAAGCCAGCCAGAAAGGCAGCATGCCATCTGCTAAGCCCCATGGCTGCCCCGCTGTGTCACCTGCAATGGAGCTCCCTGTCAGCCCCCAGCACCCGGCTGTGACAAGGCAGGGCTCTGCAAAGCTCTGCTAAGGCAGAGTGCTGCATTGCGGGACCTAGAGGACACTGCTGGTCCAGAGCAGTGGCCTTCCCTCACAACTGCCCCTACTTCCCTCAGATGGGAACCCGTCATCCCAGCCCTCTCTCCTCTCCCCTTTGGAACTGATGCTTCTCCCTGTCATGCCACAGCCTCCTTGTCCAATTATTAAAGTCCTTTATTTTTAGTTCCAAGGGCACTGGAAAATGCCCTAGGACTTGTACTGACCACACCTCACCCACCTCAACCACCACCTGTTTCAGGGGTTGACCCAGATTAACGTGGGCATTGGACTTGGCTTGCAGCATTACAAGGCAGAGGAACAGATGACCCAGGAGAACCACTTCCCTTCCGATCACAGAAGATGGCCGAGGCAGCCAAAAGAAGCTTTATGAACAATGAACTTCCTCTAACACTTCTGTGATGTGCTATTTTTTGGCCCCCTCACCTGTGCCACCCATCTGCTTGGACAAGGAGGCTCTGGCATGACAGGGAGAAGCAGGCAGATGAAACTGAAAACACCCACCTTAAGTATAAAGGTCCCACCAGTGGCCGGATCCTGGACGATCTGCACCTGGGAGCAGTATATACAGTACCGGTCAGGAGCAGCGACTGCTCCCGCCCCAACACACAGCCTACAGGAATGTCCCAGGGACTCAGCCCTGGAACAACAAACTCCCACCCAACTAGACGGGTGGTGCTCAAACCCCTACTCTTGAAAGACAAAACACAGGTTATTAGCAATGAGATAGCCACGGAGCCAGGGAGTAGGGAGTTAATTAAAGAAAGAGGTGACTCCCACACCATTTTTCCTTCCTTCACAACGAAGGATTTCGCACTGCTCCTTCTGCGGGGTGCACTGGCCTGCCCACCTGGGCCTCGGCAGGACAGGAGGACCACACCAGTCCTGACAAACTGAGATGTATGAATGGCAGAGGAGAGCAACATGCCAGTGTGTGTATGGAGACAGTAAGCCACCTTCACTCCAAGATCATGAACTACTAATTAGTTGATTCATCTGTATAGCTTGTCTTCTGCTGAAGTCTAAATTATCCATAGGAGTCCACCATCATAGTACCTAGGCATCAATCACGATTCCATGCAGGGAAAGAACCGGATGCATCAACCTCCTTGTAAATATCTTGGGAGATCTTGTAAGCAAAAGGAATGGGGACATTAACAGATTTCCCAACTAACCCTTAAAGGGTCTTGCATCCTTGCCTGCGAATTTTCCTTGGTGGGAATGGTGTGGATGGTAATACTCAGGTTCCTTGGTGGGTGCGCTGGGGGCCAGCACCCCCATCCCATCTGCCAGGACCCTCCAGGTTATGCTCCCCTTGGTCCAGCCCCAGCCTCATCCCCCCAGTTCCAGGTCAAGTCATTACCTTATCGATCACGCCCACAACCTTACACCGTCTCAGGTTCTCCACTGCTGAGCTCAGCGTCCTGATCGGCCGGAAGCGCAGGCTGCTGTAACCCTGCAAGGCGATGAAGAAGAGGATGAGGGACCTAGAGCTGCTACTGTCCATGAGAGCAGGTGGGAGAAGTCCCCGCATTTCCCAGAGCGAGCAGCAATACTGCCAGGCTGGTCAACATCCAGAGACAACTCTCCAACAGCCGTGGTTGATTCCTAACATCAGCCGGACCATTTTCTTGGACAGCTCCTGGATTTCTGAAATTTTCAGGGAAAGCCTGCACCTGACGTAAAATCACTCCAAAATTTACACCTGGATCTGGACTGCCTCAACACTAAGGGGATCTGTACAGAAGGTAGTTGCCATTCTTTTCTCGTCCTTCTCACCAGGCCCCAACCCTGCCCTGCCTCACTCCCCTCTCCCTTCATGAACCACTTCCTTCCCACAATGCAGCAAGCAGCCATTGTCTTTGGTTTCCATCCAGATGGGAACAATAACAGGAAAGATGACATTTTTAACATCTGACAAGGTGGTTCTCCCCGGTGGCTTCAGTCCCACCAAAAATGGCCATTTTCACTACAACGGCCACAACCTAAAACATACCAGGCAGGGTGAAGAGCTGCCAGCTCCCTCACAGCCACCGGCATGCCGGGACACTCTGTAGCTAATGTGTCCGCCATTTCCTCTACAACACCTTACTGTGACATGTGGCAGAAGCGGTCGAGGAGGCTCAGCGGGGCTGCTCTATGTGTCCCCCCCAAGGTTTCCCAGTGCCACAGATTCGCTGCCATCCCACCGTGCCACCCCACGCCAGCCCCTCACCGTGGCGATGGAGTTGCCACCCCCCGCAGCCCGCTGGAGGTGGCAGTTGAAGATCTCTTCCGCACGCCTCAGGTACTGTGTGATCTTCCGCTTCACGGCCTCCCGACGCTCCTTGTTGGGGTCAACTGTGGGTGGTGCAGAAGGCGGACGTGAGGGGCCTGCTGCGCTCCCCGGAGGGATGTCCTGGTCCCCTGGCCGAGCTCCCCGGAGGAATGCCCTGGTCTCCTCACTGGTTTCCCCAGAGGGATGCCCGGTCCC